ATTTTGAGATTTAATCAAAGAAAAGAAGGTTACATTGATTAGTTTCCTATCAAGGCAGTGACACATTGTGTCTGGAATATTTTCTAATTACAGTTTAATCTAGAACAGCTGCTGAGGAGTGATCAGCCGAACGGAAAACTCGCCTCCTTTATGCAGAAAAGTAGACAAAGAGCAAACCAGCTGTTGCTTTAAAAACTAAACACCTTTAATAAAGTTCTGCAGCATGTTAAAAGTCTTTCCCAAACTTATAGGTTGAACTAATTTTATTAATGCACTGTTGTTTGCCGTGCCTTTAATTTTCCAGTCAAACTGGTTCGACTTAACATTAAACGGCACCTCCCTGTTTTCTTTCATTCAGTGCTGTGACATTAAAGAGATCATCTGCCACCGAGACGAACACCGCCGCCACAATATGGCCTTTTTTCAAAATCAAGGGGACGGTCAACGTAAGATCTGTTCCTCTGTCCATTCTCTCTTGTATGGTTGTTATACGTGTTTGTGCTTTATTCTTGAAACAGATTTATTTATTTATTATTCTTTCTTCTGATCCAACAGAAGACCCACTTGCTGGCTTCTTCCAAGGCCCCGCGACAGGGGGGCAGGACTGCTCTGGGGGTGGCAAGGGGGGCCATGGGCCTGGAGGCAGGCAGGATAAAGATGATCACCGTGGAAGAGACGATTTCCAGAGAAGAGAAGATCACCATGGTGGTGATCACCATGACCAAAGGGAAGATCGCCATGGAGGTGATCACCATGACCAAAGGGAAGATCGCCATGGAGGTGATCACGATGACCACCAGAGACGATGCAGTCCTGATCGTGACCGTGGTCAGCGCAGGAGCAGCCACAGCCCTGACCGAGACCATCGCCAGCGCAGGAGCAGCCACAGCCCTGACCGAGACCAGGATCAGTGCAGGGACAGAGGCAGCCCTGATCGCCGTGGCCGTGACCACAGCCCTCATTGTAGCGGAAGCCGCGGCCGTGACCACAGCCCTCATCGTAGCGGAAGCCGCGGCCGTGACCACAGCCCTCATCGTAGCGGAAGCCGCGGCCGTGACCACAGTGGTGGCAGCCGTGGGAGCTGCGGCAGTGGCAGTGGCAGCGATGACGGGCACGGGGGTCGTCGCAAAAAAGGCGGGCGCAAGCATGGCTATGGCCATGAGCGTGGACGTGGACGAGGACGCAGGTGAATACAGGTGAGATACAAAGTTAATTAAACCATTTTCTCTAAATCAGCTTCTCATTCTAAGCGACAGGCTCTTGCATGAACAAAATATCTTCTGCAGCAGTTTTATTTATTTCATATCAGCCACTTTTAAGTTTGTTTGAAGTGGGCGGGGCTCGGTTGGAAAACATTTAAGCAGGACTTCTGTGTTGAATTGTCGCGGTACCTACGGTATAGTCTTTGTGTCGACATAACTAACTCCGTACCCTAAGTCTTGTGTGTGATTTATCCTGGCTTCATATGAGCAGAGGAAATCTCTGCTCATTGCTAGGCTAATTTATACAATGTAAAATGCCATATGCTTGTGCTTATAACGTTAGCATGTTGTATTTGTTTGGAAAACGTGTTTAGTATAAGACAGTTGTTTTGTCAGTGAACCTTGTGAGTTGTAATGGAGCTGAATTATGTAACGTTTGTTAAATGTTGCTGTTGTCCCTGGTTTTATATGAGAAGAGGAAAAGTCCGCTAGCTGCTAGGCTAATTTATACAATGTAAAATGCCATAGGCTTGTGCTAATAACGTTAGCATGTTGTATTTGTGGGGAAACTGTGTCCAGATAAAGACAAGTGTTTGTCTGTGAATGGGGTTGATCTCATCTGCTTTGTGACACGTTGTTGTTGTAACTGCATTTTAGCTCGTTGAAAAGAGACTTTCAGACCGAATATCAACTGCTCTTTAATCCCGGCTGGTGCTCACTGTGTAAGGAGTCCTAGTTTAGGAGAATTCTTTGAGCAGGGAATGGACAGAGAGTGTGACCTCAGTGAGGAGGTGCGGTCGACCCTGTTGCTAGATGTGATGCATTCTTTTATAAGGTGTGATTGGTTGTCCTTTTGTGAGCCTGCAAGGTGAGGAAATGAAATAAACTGCGTCACAATGTTAGACCAAAGTCATCACTGCTGCATTTTTACAGCTGACTCATATCTTAGTGTCCCCCAACAAAAAGTTCGGAGTAACTTTATGTGGTGCACATTACTACTTCTTAAAATCAAACAAGCTTAGAAAGAAAAGTCGATTCACAACTGGACTTTGATTCATTTTAAGGTGTCACACGTCAAGATGGAGCTCTGAACGTCTTCTTGTGTCTTTGTCTTGTCTTCTTGCTGAAATGTTGTTTTGTGTTCCAGGCTGCAGATTCACTGACGACAACGCCTTGTGTGAAACTCGACCTGCCGTCCAGCCATGAAAACATTTAACTCTGCATTTTTGCTCTTATATGAAATAAAATACTCTGAAGACATGAACCGAATGTCGTCTGTCGTACTTGTGTTTTCAAGCAGCTCTGAAGTGAGTCAGAGACTTCCTGTTTTAAAACTGAGTTTTTGAATGAATGGAGGATAAAGGACATTAAAGGTATATAAGATAATGTTATTGTTCATGGTAGAGGCTCCTTTCTATTTCCTCTCAGACTAAATTTAACACAGTGCATGCAGTCTGGAGAGGCAGCCAACACCCTCAGGTGGTGTGGCAGTTAGGCAGACAGGTGTGGATGGCGTAGCTCCGCCTCCTGTGCTCCAGGCGACAGGGTGAATTGAGGTGAGTGAGTCACCTGGGTCTTCTGCCAAATTTTTTTAGACACTGTTGATGAGAGCAGGAGCAAAATATTCACATTTGAAGACGTGAGAGTAAATCGCTTTACGCCTTCAATGTCATTATTAAGGTTTGATTTCAGAGATTGTTTCATGGATAAACTCATAAAGACTCGTGCAAGTAAGGTTTTTAAAAACTTAGGAAGACATTGAACGTGTCACAGCTGACTGACGATACTTCAATTGAAGATAACAAGGCAAACAGGCGGGAACGATTAGCAGGGAGACGAAGCGGGAACACGGGCAGGTAGAAGTAGAAGACACTGTTTACGGATCCGCCCTCGACTTTGAGAAACACCCAGACTCAATAAGCTCGTCAGGAAAGCTGGTTCCGTCCTGGGAGTGGAACTGGAGTCGTCAGTGGAGGAGTCCGAGAGGAGACAACGCCACTCTGGAGTCCCATCAGAGCACCTTCAGCTCTAGACTGAGTATGTATTGTATCAAAACCAGTATAACGTTATCACACGCAGTCTGTTTTTTTTCAGCCATTTTAGCTAATTTTTTGTCACTCTTTAGCCTCGTTTCCACCAAACACTTCCAACGTAGTACCTTTGGAACCAACACCAACCCTTCAGACATGGTACCTTGACCCTTTATCAGTCTGCACCTGGTTAATCGTCCACAGAACGAGGCTGCACGCCAACATTTTCAGAACAAAATAGAACAGGCTGCAGTGAGAGTCTCTCTCCATGGGATATTAAAAAACATCCAAGACCCAAGATTTTTGCTGCTGAAGACCTGAGAAAAAGAGAAAACAATCATAAGTTTAAGACAAATAACTTTTATTTGACAATACTAATAAATATCTAAAAGTACAAACGACAGTATAAAAATCATTAAAAAGTACTGTCGTGTAATTTAATTCAACAATTTCTTTGTATGCAGGCGATGATCTCATTTCAATGCAGGGGTGATGTTTGTGAATGTGCTGCACGGTTTCGGCCACCAAGAGGCGCCATTTAGCAAGTTTTGAGGGAGAGGTGGTCGAAGAAGAGCAGCTCCTGTGCAGTGGTTGTCAGTGCAGTTTGGAGCAGTGAAATAAGGGGGGCCAGGACCTTTAAACTTTAGGGTTACATTCACAGTGTCACGTTACGTGTTACCACCGGAAATAAAGTGTTTTCATTTTTCATTCATCCACACTGATCCAGAGCGTCAAAAGAAATAAGTATCTCCAGAAGCCATTATAAAGAAAGCAGCGGAGATAAGGAGCTGACCTCTGGTTTGTTGTTTCCTCATCCTGGTGATCGGCACATTTGGGTGATGTTGGTATATGTTGGATGTAACTTATTACTCCACACAGAGAGTAATATGGTAAAGTAACTTTCATCCATCCATTCATTTTCACCTGATGGCCTCCTACCAGTGGGACGTGCCTGAATCACCTCTAACAGGAGGCGCCCAGGAGGATCCTGATCAGATGTTGAACCACCTCAACTGACCCCTTGCAATGTGAAGAAGCAGCAGCTCTACTCCGAGCTCCTCCCCCTATCTCTAAGGCTGAGCCCAGACACCCTACAGAGGAAACTCGTTTCGGCTGCTTGTATCTGTGACCTCACTCTTTCAGTCACTACCCAGAGCTCATGACCACAGGTGAGGGTTGGGACGTAGATGGACCAGGACATCGAAAGCTTCCTCTTCACCATGACAGATCCATCTCACTCTCCATTCTGCCCTCACTTCTGAACAAGACCCCGAGATACTTGAACTCCCTCGCTTGAGGCAGTAACTCTCTCCCAACCCGGCAATCCACCGGTTTCCAGGAGAGAACCATGACCCCATGACCTCAGATTTGAAGGTGCGGACTCTCATCACGAACGCTTCACACTTGCCTGCAAACCATACCATACCGTACCATATTGTTAAGTAACTTATTACTTTCAAATGAAGGTAACTAGTAATGAGAGTAGCCTGTCAAACACTAATAGATATAGTCACCTCTCACCTTTGGGTCTCAGGAGGATAATACCCATTTACTGCCCAGAAATGTAATTATAAAATAAAACTAATAAAGTTTTTTGTGACTCATATCAAACAGATTATAGAATAAAGACCCATCAGATCCCAGACTCGTCTTTAATCCGCTACCTCTTTAAATCTCCCCTCTGATTAAAAAAAACGGGTCCTCCTATCAGCCAATCATAAAGTCCAGAGGCCCGGGGATACATCCATATCAGACAGCGTCACCACACTGACCTCTTCTTCCCTCCAGGATGCTCCTCTTCCTCGGCCTGTCCGTCTTCTTCTCCGCCAGCCTCTCCATGGAGATGAACCAGACCTCCAAGTTGCTGGCGGAGAGCGGAGAGCAGTGCTTGGCCTGCGACTTCCGGGAGCACAGCAAGCAGATGAGGCTCCACAGCATCAAGTCCCAGATCCTCAGCATCCTGCGGCTCGAGCAGGCTCCCAACATCAGCCGGGACATGATCCGCCAGCTGTTGCCCAAAGCGCCGCCTCTGACGCAGCTCCTGGACCAGTACGACCCGCGGGTGGAGGACGAGGACCACGCCACGACGGAGACCATCATCACCATGGCCACCAAGCGTAACTACACCAAATCTCTTTTACAGTTTGACACTGTTTTTGTGTGTTTTGCACCTCTGTGAGCGGCGCGTGTTAAAAGAGAAGCTCGTGTTCCGTGCGTAAATCTTATGCGTAAAGTTTGTGCGCGCTGAAAACGGTCACAGTTTTGGCACAAACGACCATGTACCCCACTGAACACAGAATATAATCACTTTTTGTAGTGTAATGTTGGGCTTTAACTCTGAAAATCATATAATAATAATATATTTATTATCCAACAACCTTTTGCTGTGTAACTGTTTTTATTTTAAGTCTTAATTAAAGTCACACAATGCAGTTTTATTAGTTGAAGATATTTAAATTAAATTTAAATGAGCAGGCACATATGAATATTATTAATATATATATATATATATATATATTTTATTTTTTATTTATCTTATTTTTAAAGAATAAATAAATAAAGATTTAATCGCAATTTTCTATTTCGGCTAAAATGACACAATTTCAAAATATGACCTTCATCTTTCAAATTTAGCATTTCTCCCTTTATTTAATAAATCATGTTCCAACTTTAAAACAGAAAATGATAATAGTAATAAGATAAGGAAAGAAAATAAATAAAATAGAATAAATAATGAAATAAAAGGACATTAAAAATAAATTCAATTAAATTATAAATCTAGTCTAGTATAGTCTAACTGACCTGGACAATGACGGAGCTGAAGGTCCATTCATAGTTGATATTTTTGGGTGGTGCAAAATAGAAACTCTTAGATTGTACAAAATGCTCAGCAAATTATGTGATCATTAGATTATTGTTTCCCGGGTGCTCATGTGAGGCAGTCGAGGAAAAGTCGTGGGGTTATCAGAACATCAGGACTCAATATTCTGGGCCCAGTTGTTCGATTCGATTTTAAAATCCCACATTTTGCTGTCCAGGATCAGCTGATCTATCTGATTTTTTAGCGGAAACATGGGACGTCCCATCCTTGTGAACACAATATCGCAGGAACACTTCAATGGAATTCCTTTAAAATGCTTTTATTCTGGAGGCGACCTTCAACTCTTGATGAGGCAACACATTTTCAAGCAACTCGTTTGGTCATGGAGTTTCCACGTCCACATATGACGTCCAAGGTACCCTGGGTGTGTTGGTTGTTGATGTTCTGGGACGCCGTGTCAACTTCAGCCTGTTACATGCATTGTCTGTTTTCAAAATACACTTCTGTTTTCACAGGAAATGTACAGTTTGCATACAGTCTCTTTCAAAATAAAAGCACTACGTCTGTGCAGCACTGCGAGTTGACGTTTTGACAAAAGTACGAGGTTGGGTTTAGGAAAAAATGTTTCATCTGTTTCCTGCCGCGTAAACTATAATGACAACGTGCCGCGTATCATGCTGACGTTAAAGGACGTCTCTTTCGTCAGTGTTTAACGCTGCAAGTCACTGTCCAAGCGCTGGATTTCGATGTAGAGTGACACAAGGTAAGCTGAGGCTTTTAAACTTACTGTGTGCACAAAGAACGCCTCGGCTTTCTTATCTCTATCTTATATGTCTGTACGAACGTCGGTCCAATCCTTGTAAGCACAATATCTCAGGAACGCCTCAATGGAAGTTCTTCAAATTTGGCACAAACATTCACTTGTGAGTTTTAAAACATGTTGGATGATCACATGAGTTCATCACACCAAAGCTAAATGTTCCGTCTGTTCTGTCTGAACTCAGATAATTAAACATTTAAATGATTTCTTCCAGCTAACGCGATCACCCAGGACGAGTTGTCCTCCTGCTGTGTGTTCAGCCTCAGTCCGAAGATCCAACCCAAAAACATCCTGCGCGCTCAGCTGTGGGTTCACCTGCGGCCGGCTGACATGGTCACCACCGTCTTCCTGCAGATCTCCCGCCTCAAACTTGGCAAGGAGGGAAACAACACCAGAGTCAGAGTCCGCTCGCTGAAGATCGACACTGACGCCGGTGCCAGTTCCTGGCAGAGCATTGACATCAAGCCTCTGCTGCAGGCTTGGCTGCGCCAACCGGAGACCAACTACGGGATCGAGATCAACGCCTACGACTCCAATGGAGAAGATTTGGCCGTCACGTCAGCAGAGCCTGGAGAGGAAGGACTGGTGAGTGAACCACAAATCAACCTATTAACTCACAACTTCAAAACAACACTGGTAGTTCACACTGGAAGATCTGATCTTCATGCTTTGCTTTGGCAATGCCATTAGTGGCCTAATGAGAATAGACATTTTCCGAGACAAAAAAGAGAACATCCCTAGAAAAACCAGAACGTGTGGCAACCAACAGGGACAATTCCACCGGGTATAGCTGTGACAGTGAGCGTTTTGCCTGCCAGTTCTGTAGACTTGCAGATTTTCCTTGATATTTGTGCTTGACAGAACTGCGACAGGTTGGACGCAGGTGCTTTGTTGCATGACCATTTTCATTTCCTTTCCAGCAACCGTTCATCGAAGTGAAGATCCTCGACAGCCCCAAGAGATCCCGCCGCGACTCGGGCCTCAACTGCGACGAGGAGTCTGCGGAGACCCGCTGCTGCCGCTACCCGCTCACCGTCGACTTCGAGGAGTTCGGCTGGGACTGGATCATCGCGCCCAAACGCTACCGGGCCAACTACTGCTCAGGGGAGTGCGAGTTCATGCACTTGCAGCAGTACCCGCACGCACACCTGGTGAACAAGGCCAACCCGCGGGGCACGGCGGGGCCCTGCTGCACGCCCACCAAGATGTCACCCATCAACATGCTCTACTTCAACCGCAAGGAGCAGATTATCTACGGGAAGATCCCGTCCATGGTGGTAGACCACTGCGGCTGCTCCTGAGGGAACCCCGGCGTCTGCAGGACTTAAGGTTGAACGTAAAGCTCTATTTTGTTAAAAACCTATAGACCCAGTGACGTCCCGCCTGTGGAAGAGATTTATTCTCAAGGACTGGACTCTTAAAAGTTGGTTTTAGTTTTATTCTTTGTGCGTTTATACAAGAACAACAACTAGATATCAGACAGAACATGATAGGAACAGCTGATATCACTCTGAAGGATCAACTTGTGAAAAATGAAAAGCAGTGAGCATTACGTTTAGACGTTACGGTAACATTACATACCCACAAGGTGCAATTCAGACCATGAACAGTGGGGGGGGGGGCAGTACATCAGGATGACAAGTGAGGTTTGCAGAAGCAACGTATACTCAAAGAACAGTTCGTATGACGAATTTGTACCCCACGAATGATGTCACATTCCTAACATACATAATAAGCGTAGACTTATGGAGGTTAGGTTTAGGAAAAGACACATGAAGAGGACGTACCTTAAGTGACTCAAAGTTCACAGGGATCTGAAACACGCGACTCCAGGGGAAGGTCTTGGGTGAAAGTCTGCAATTTGAATTTTCGCGTCATATTCTAACACTAGAATATTTTGTGTTGACTTGCTCCATACGCACATGAAATCTCTGAGTTGATTGGCTATTAAGGCGTGAATTGTTTGCTGAATTTCAGATTTTTCAGCTCTTGCAAATGAGCGTTTCACGTGGAACAGTGCTACCCGCTTCATTCTCGCTGCTTAATTCATGCCACTTGGCAGGAATTCACGTCTACTCTTGGGTGGGTCACAAAAACGTGGACTTTACCCCTGGATGTGCTTGTTCGGACTTGAGTGAACTCAATGTCATTTTAAGGTTCGTCCTTACCATGTTTTTTCCCCCCCAAACCTAACCTCTGTATGTTAAAGGGATAGTGCACCTTAAAATGTAAATTCAGCCATTATCTACTCACCCATATTCCGAGGGAGGCTCAGGTGAAGTTTTAGAGTCCTCACATCACTTGCAGAGATCCAAGGGGAGAGGAGGTAGCAACACAACTCCACCTAATGGAGGCTGACGGCGCCCCAGATTCAAACGTCCAAAAACACATAATTGAAACCACAAAATATCTCCATACTGCTCGTCCGTAGTGATCCAAGTGTCCTGAAGCCCCGACATAAAAAGTTGTTTGGAAAAACGTCATTTGAACTCTGTTTTTAGCCTCATTGTAGCCTGTGAGTTCAAATGACGTATTTCCAAACATCTTTTTATGTCGGGGCTTCAGGACACTTGGATCACTACGGACGAGCAGTATGGAGATATTTTGTGGTTTCAATTATGTGTTTTTGGACGTTTGAATCTGGGGCGCCGTCAGCCTCCATTAGGTGGAGTTGTGTTGCTACCTCCTCTCCCCTTGGATCTCCGCAAGTGATGTGAGGACTCTAAAACTTCACCTGAGCCTCCCTCGGCATATGGGTGAGTAGATAATGGCTGAAGTTTCATTTTTGGGTGCACTATCCCTTTAAGGATGTAACACCATTCGTGGGGCGCTATTTCATAGGATATCAAACAAACCGTTCTATGAGGGAACGTTGTCACAATATCGTCACACTCTCAAGTATCAGTATGTTTAGCAACGCCACATATTTTTGTTCTCACCAGCTGCACGCCTGCGTGTAGTTTGTTTTTACCTGTGTCTTACACAACTTCTTGCGGGTTACCTGACCCAACGCAGGACTCTGATATCTATAAATTAGCACCCCTCGAATGACATTAAGTGCTTAACGTGAAGTTACGTAGGTTACAATTTACAAAATTCTCTTGGTATCACAATTCCAAACACCAGTCTCCTTGGGAAAGTGTTTTGTGACCCATCCACCACCCTAGCCTGCCTTTTTACGCAGACTTTTGCTCTTTATACGACTTCCTTCTTTACTTCCGTCAACGCATTGTACACTTGAATAACTGGCTCATGATTCTGTAGGTCACATACGAGTTGTAGTTTACATTTCATAGGTATATGCAACAATGCAACCCCCCTCAACCTTAACCCTAACCCTACTCATGACGTTTTTCTACCGGCCTCCCACAGCCAAGCCATCACAACTTTACCATAACCCAACATCACCTCCAGTACGACCACAGATTCGACAGAGACCCCGCCCCCTCTGTCACCCCATCAAACATGCCTCTTCCTTGGTCCTCAGGTCTGGTGGTCTACCCTTTGCTTGGGGATCGAATCCTGGCCCTCCAAGCAGAGGAGCTAAACTTTTCCACATCGCCATGGCATACACGTGAAACCCAAACCCTAACCTAATCTGTCATGTGACATACTTGTGAAGTTTTTTTAAACCTAGCCAAGTAGCTTAGGCGTCTGGTGGTATTTTACGTAACAGAAAGCTGCCATTCATTTGATGGGCATCGACTGAAGTAGACAAAGGTTTCAAATCAAGAAATCTGTTGGTATCAGTATCACTTTAAGGGTACTGATACTGATATTGCATTTTTTTAAACCTACCCACCCTACTAGTTGGTAAACCTTTAATCCTCCTGGTGGACAGAAAGCACGCAGGCAACAGTGCGACACTTGTGTATCATACATGTCGCTAAGAGTCAGTTAAGAGTCTGTTTCAACAATGAAAACTCATGGAAGCAGATATATTTAAAAACTATTTGATGACCAGACTCCTGCTGCTTCCTGTCCTCCTGTCTTATGAAAACGTGTCCTGATTTGAGCCCTGACCAGAACAAACCCCGCAGGGCGTCTTCCACGTGCGCCTTTATTTTGAAAAACACGAACCTAATGACTCTCAGCCGACACATCGGCCTTCTCTGCCCCAAAGCTTGTTTGCAAACTCCTCGCTGTGATTTGTTCTCAAGACGAGATGGAGGGAAAGTTGTCAGCAATGTTGTAACTCTGAGACGGCGTCCCTGCCCTCCCTCATCATGTCTCGAGTATGTAGAGTGAGGTGACGATCCTGCAAACAAGATGAGGACCTGCTCATACAAACGCAGCCACACTGGAAGATAAAGGTGTCACACAGTCATTTTCCTTGGTTATAGTGATGTATATAGAGTGGAGCAGCACCTAGTGGACATTAGAGGGACTGCAGCTGAAGGCAGTACTCACCTGTAGAGTGTGTTCAGCCCTGTTGCCAGAAAATATGATGGTATTTCTGTAAACGACAAATACATCACATGTGTGTGTTATTTTGTAGCAGATACTTTATGCTACAACAACGCAGTGGTTTACACATGGTTAGGTTTAGGCACAAATTCCACTTGGTTATGGTTAGGAAAAGTCATGTTTGGGCTTAAATTACCCTGTTTTTGGGGCACAGTCGTAGCTGGAGAAGCCATTTGTGTCTCTGTAAAAAACAGCTGCATTTTGTGGCACTGTTGCGGCAGGAAATGCAGTGATGTCTTGGTAAGAACAGCCACTTTTGAGGCACTATACCGGTTGAAATGCAGCAATGTCTCAGTAAAACACAAACACATTTCGTGGCGCTATCCCTTCAGGGAATGCAGGGATGTCTTGGTAAAAAACAACTGTTTTTTGTGGCGCCATCCTGGCAGGAAGTGCATTGATGTCTCAGTAAAACACAGTCGCTTTTAGTGGCACCTCTCCAGTAGTAAATGCATTCATTTCTCTGTAAAAAAAAAACCAAAACAACAACTGCATTTTGTGACACTATCCTGGCAGGAAATGCAGCGATGTCTTGTTAAAAACAACTGCTTTTTGTGGCACCATACCAGTTGGAAATGCGGCAATGTCTTAATAGAAAAGAATCGTTTTTAGTGGCACCTCTCCGGCAGGAAATGCGTTTATTTTTCTGTAAAAAAACAACTGCATTTTGTAGCGCTATCCTGGCAGGAAATGCAGTGATGTCTCAGTAAAAACAGCCTCTTTTGTGGCACCATACCAGTTGGAAATGCAGCAATGTCTCAATAAAAAACAGTCGTTTTTAGTGGCACCTATCCGGCAGGAAATGCATTTATAAATCAGTAAAAACAACTGCATTTTGTGGCAGTATCCTGGCAGGAAATGCAGCAATGTCTCTGTAAAAATCAGCTGCTTTTTGTGGCACTATCGTGGCAGCAAATGCAGTGATGTCTCAGTGAAAACAGCCACTTTTGTGACACTATGTGCAGCAATTCCTCAGTAAAAAACAACTGCTTTTTGTGGCACCATACCAGCTGGAAATGCAGCAATGTCTTAATAGAAAAGAATCATTTTTAGTGGCACCTATCCGGCAGGAAATGCATTTATAAATCAGTAAAAACAACTGCATTTTGTGCCACTATCCTGGCATGAAATGCAGCAATGTCTCTGTAAAAATCAGCCACTTTTTGTGGCACTATCGTGGCAGCAAATGCAGTTATGTCTCAGTAAATGTGCAGCAATTCCTCGGTAAAAAACAACTGCTTTTATCAGCACTCTCCTGGCAGGAAATGCACTGATGTCACAGTAGAAACAGTTATTTTTTGTGGCACTATCCCAGCAGGAAATGCATCAATTTATCAGTAAAAACTGCCACTTTCTGTGACAATATCCCAGTTGGAAATGCAGCGATGTCTCAGTAAAAAACAGCCGCTTTTAGTGGCACCTGTCCAGCAGGAAAGGCATTGATTTTTCTGTAAAAACTGCCACTTTTGTGACACTATCCTGGCAGGAAATGCAGTTATGCCTCAGTAAAAACAGTCACTTTTGTGGCACCATACCAGTTGGAAAGGCAGTGATGTCTCGGTTCAAACCGAACCACGTTTCATGGCACTACCTCGGGATAGTGCTGCAGTGAGTCGCTGCAAAGCAACTGGTTTTGTTGTTTGCTGGTCTTTAACAGTGTTCTGCAGCTTGGCAGGTGTCACACCGTCCCCTCCACCTCCAGATGAGTCAGCTCACTTTAGAAACGATATGTATGAAACACACACATGTGGCTGGGTTTATAGGTGGTGAAAAACAAATAATGTTATGCTGCTGCAGCTTTAATCTCTGGGTTGTTTCTCAGTCATCACTGGAGTGTAAAATAGTGCACAAACAGCCAGGAGAGTTTTGGATCCATCAGCCAATTACAACGTGAGGACAGGAACTGTGATCTCAGAGGGAGGTTTGATCTGGATTCGGAGCCGAGTGCAGATGTCCTGACTGTTGTTGTGCTTCACGGGGGTTTCTGACCCAAAAGTCTTTGTTCTGCTGTTGGAACAAGACGTCCACGAGTGCCACGGTCGCACGTTTGTGTGATTCTGCAGTGAACAGAATGTCCATCCGAGTTGTTTGGTGCACTCTGGTTTGCTTCCCTGCAGAAAGCAAGGTCAGGCCGTCGAGCAGTTTGATTGTTTCATCTCCTCTGGAGGAGACAAAAAAAGCTTTACATTCATATTTTTTTCACTTTAAGAGATTTGAAATCTTAATGAAGTGATTTTAAATTGTTTCCATAAGGAACAAAGATAAACAGATGTTGAAATGAGTGGTGCGAGCAAAACGTCATGTTGCTGCATTTGTGTTGAGCTGCAGTTCTGATCTTGAGGAGGAGATGTGACGGTGCATTGAGGGACACTGTAGATAGCTGTAGCTGACTGAGACGCATTGCAACACAGTACCTGCATTTAAGGTACAGTGTGTGAGATTTAAGGGGATTTAGTGGCATCTAGTGGTGGCGACTGGGGACTGCAACCAGCTGATGGTTTTACCAAAACAAGTGGACGTGGTAAAAACACTGAATTAAGTGGTTTCATGTTAAAAATCTGTGTTTTTTCTGTGGTCGCTGGCACGTCAGAAACAGATCGCTAGCTTACCTATTTACTCTGATAACTTAAGATCCAGATGTTCAGGAGGTTTTTACCAGAAGCCGAATTATCCACAGAGGTCTCTTCCTCTCCAAAATAAATGGACTTGGAAGTTAAAAGGGGTAAAAACACTCAATAAAGCAGTTT